TTCCCTTTTTATTTTTTACTTTTATACACATTTTAATGATTGTCATATCTAAACTAATTAAGGTTCTTTAATTTAACATGGAAATTTGCTTGTATTGTTTGTTCAATGATAAGATTGTATAGCTTGTGTTTTTTGATTTATTGGTGTAGATATTAAAATAGAAATTACATGTTACACTCAGGATTTGACGTGTTCGTGCGATATAATTTTTGTACTTTTTAGAAAAAATAATTTAATTTTTTATTATTGACTTGTACAAGAGATCTTTTAATGAAACTAAAGAAAGTAAAGAAACTAAATTTACCGCCGACGGTGGACTAGTGGTTAGTGCTGAGAGGTCGTAGGTTTGAATCCCACCAGGGCTATGGCTATTTATTTGTGTTTGTCCTATTGTGTAAAAGTCCTTCGGAGGGGACTTTAAGCCCGCGGTCCGTTCCTACCCCTAACCCGCTCAAGCTATTTAGTTGGCTTCTGGGACTTTTTAGGAAGTAAGGGTGGAACTAAAAGAGCGGTTTTGTTTTTTTGTAAATAAACTAAATAAACTAAATAAACTAAATAAACTAAATAAACTAAATAAACTAAATAAACTAAATAAACTAAATAAACTAAATAAAGCAAAGAAATTTAAAAAATTAAATAAACTAAATAAAGTAAAGAAAGAAAATAAATAAAATAAATAAACTTAAAATAAATTGAAAAGAAACTAAATAAACTAAACATATTTATAAAAGAAACTAAAAACAAACTAAAGAATTTAAAGAAAGAAACTAAAGAAACTAAAGAAACTAAAGAAACTAAAGAAACTAAAGAAACTAAAGAAACTAAAGAAACTAAAGAAACTAAAGAAACTAAAGAAACTAAAGAAACTAAAGAAACTAAAGAAACTAAAGAAACTAAAGAAACTAAAGAAACTAAAGAAACTAAAGAAACTAAAGAAACTAAAGAAACTAAAGAAACTAAAGAAACTAAAGAAACTAAAGAAACTAAAGAAACTAAAGAAACTAAAGAAACTAAAGAAACTAAAGAAACTAAAGAAACTAAAGAAACTAAAGAAACTAAAGAAACTAAAGAAACTAAAGAAACTAAAGAAACTAAAGAAACTAAAGAAACTAAAGAAACTAAAGAAACTAAAGAAACTAAAGAAACTAAAGAAACTAAAGAAACTAAAGAAACTAAAGAAACTAAAGAAACTAAAGAAACTAAAGAAACTAAAGAAACTAAAGAAACTAAAGAAACTAAAGAAACTAAAGAAACTAAAGAAACTAAAGAAACTAAAGAAACTAAAGAAACTAAAGAAACTAAGAAACTAAAGAAACTAAAGAAACTAAAGAAACCAAAGAAACCAAAGAAACTAAAGAAACTAAAGAAACTAAAGAAACTAAAGAAACTAAAGAAACTAAAGAAACTAAAGAAACTAAAGAAACTAAAGAAACTAAAGAAACTAAAGAAACTAAAGAAACTAAAGAAACTAAAGAAACTAAAGAAACTAAAGAAACTAAAGAAACTAAAGAAACTAAAGAAACTAAAGAAACTAAAGAAACTAAAAAAACTAAAGAAACTAAATAAAGAAAATAAATAAACTAAAAAAGAAAAGAAACTAAAAATAAACTGAAAAGAAACTAAATAAACTAAACATATTCCTAAAAGAAACTAAAAACAAACTAAAGAGCCTAAAGAAACTTAAAATAAACTAAATGGAAACTAAAGAAACTAAAGAAATTAAAAAAACTAAAGAAACTAAAACAACTAAAGAAACTACAGAAACTAAAGAAACCAAAAAAACTTAAGACACTTAGGAAACTAAAGAGTCTAGAGAAACTAGAATAAACCAAATAAATTAAATAAACTAAATATAGTTTGTGTTTTTTGAGTTATTAGTCTAGATATTAAAATAGAAATTACATGTTACAAAAAAATCGATATTAAATCAATATTAGCAGACGGCAGTACCTACATAGGTGTTTTTCGTAGGTCACGTATTCAGCATGACATTGTTTAAGAACTTTCTGCAGTTGTTACCAATTTGTTTGTTCTAACACATACATTTACTACACCTTTGTTGGCAATTTCACTATTCGTTCCAGCTTTCATACAGGCAGCATGTGCACATCAGCGCTACTCATTTGGCGAATATCTGCTGGTTGTACCACAATTAGGGGTCTTTCCACAACAAGAAATTTTTTAATTTATCTAAAAAAAAACAGTAGTTAAAATAGATTTAATTCTCTGAAAAAAAAAAATAACAATAAATATAAACAGGGTGTATTCTGGTCCATTAGAAGTTTTTGGGGAACGAAAAAAAATGTCGGTTTAAAATTTTAAAAGCGTCTATATTCCGTTTAAGTATATTTTTCTAATTAATATACAGGGTGTCATTTAACTTGAAACTTTGAAATATCTCAGTTAGTACCTATGCATTTTACGAAAATTTTTTTAATAAAAATTAAATGATTCGAGGGGGGAAATTATTCAGTACTAAAATTGTTCCTCATACTCTCCTCCTTAAAGGGGGTAACTTTAAAATTTCCAATGGAACATCCTATTTTTTATTGCAGATTCGGATCATTCGACTAAAAATAGGTAGATTTTGTATAAAACATTTTTTCATATTTGTAATATATGGCGCTGTAATGAAAAAAAACTCAATTTTGTTCGATTTTTCTTCTTATACGTTTCTGCAATAATTTTTCTATAAAAATATAACTTTTTTGGTAATAATTATCTTATTAAATTAAATCTGATTTTTTTAAGTACTCACGATTTTTTAACTAATATTTAAATTTCCTTTGGTTTAAGTTTTATACATTAATTCATTCGGTGATAATTATCAATTGCGCACCATGGTCACTTTTTACCTGCCAGCATTAAATCCATTTGATTTAAAGGATTATTGTATACTATTTTTAATAAAAATACTTCATTTAAGATAAAAAAAACATTATTTTGTCAATTAATTAATTTAATCCAAATTGAGGTATAAAAAATGGTATTTAGTTATAAATAATAATTATTATTGAGGTATAAAGAAACTATTTATGGTTTAGCATTATTTAATCAATTTAGTTCGAATATTAATTAGCAAACAAAAAGACCTCCTTTCGTTAAGCAGTTATTCATAATGGATTTTTTAACAGTGGAAGAAAAACATAGAAATGATTTTGATTTATGGAGAAGCAGGCAGGAATCTTGATGATACAGTTAACATCTACGCTCAGCGTTTTCCGGAAAAAAATCGATCACTTACTTGATTTCACCGTACAGTCAAGCAGTTTACTACAAACGGGAGTGTTCAACCGAAAAAAAGAGTTCGTCAAGCAAGAGTAACAGGTGGAAATAATGAAATTAATGTATTAGCAGCAACGGCCGCTAATCCTTATACAAGCACACGAGAATTATCTAGAGATTTGGGAATATCCCAGAGCAGTGTTAGCAGAATATTCAAACGAAAAATAAATAAAGTTTCAAGTTGAATGACTCACCCTGTATATATATACATATAGGGAGTGTAATTTAAACTGTTTGCAATATAAATATACACAATAAACCTAGTTGAAGACATAGTTAAGAAATTGCAAAATTAAAATATGGCGCATCCACCATTTTTGAAAAATGGCGAATGCCCCACTTTTTAGATCTCGCCTTAACAAATATCGTAGAAAAATATATAAACAAACGAGAACCTTAAAAATTTGCGGTATAGCCCCTTAATGACTTTAAGAGCATTTTCGTTATGGTAATTGTAAATTAAAGAGCCGATTTGTATTGCATACGTACGATCATTGCGGTTTTTCGTTTTGAATAAAATACATTTGTTTATTGCTAGTCTACTTTCCATTTTTGCGAATAAATTAAACACTCATCTAAAATTTAAATCGACTGATTTAGTTTTTTTTCGTCGATAATTTAATTTACCAAGTGTAATACAGAAAGTCACAAAATTAGATTTCACAAAAAATTAGATTTCATATAGTTAAAAATATATACCTGACGTAAATTTGTTAAGGCCCGTTAAGGACAATTAAAACTTTACCTAATAGTAATGCAACAATACTTTTTTATTTATTAAAATAATTTTTATTATTCTGTGCTTTCGTCAACTTTGATTCTGACATAAGTATACATTACTTATTTCACAATTTGAAAAATTATTATTCCAATTACATAACAAATCAAGTTCCTACCTTTATATATGTAAATTTAAAAATAACATTTCCCTGTTTTTTTACTATAAATAAATATTTCCACCTTTCACTTAAACCATGTGAAGACGAACCAAATTTTTACAATTTAAAATACCTACATATAGCAAACTAAAAGTAATTTGTGCAATCTTGATTTATAGAAATAATTATAAGGAAATTTAAATGAAAAAATATATACCTACGTTTCAAATTTAATTAAAAGGCTGATAAATAATAAACACAAATTACTATCATTATTTCATTCATTAATATGGTACATATGTAGACTATGAAGCTAATAATTTAATAATAAAATGCTTGAATAAAGTTGCTTACATTTGTAATATTTCTTGAAAAAATATTTACTTTGCAAAGCTAAACATTTATTTAAAATTACAAATATATTTGCTGTAATTCTTTACAAAACCTATTGTGTATTAAACAATCGTTCAAAATTGGCTTATTTGTCCCATTTAAAGAAATTATATAAAATCAAATACTTAAAACAAATGTTTTAAGTGATATGTGGAAATATTTAAATAATTTCGTAATAAAAGCATTTTCAAAATAATTTTCTTAAAGATAAACAATATTTTTTTATCTAGGGAGTGTCCACACTTCTTAAGATAAAAAATACTGTATATTATAATACATATAAGTACCAAATTGGATGAATTTAAGAAAAAACCCATTGTGTATTAAACAAATGTCTAAAAATAGCTTATAGACAACTGTCTAGAATATTATTTAAAATACAATACTTAAAACAAATTCTATAGGGTCTTTAGGTGACATATCTAAAAACTATTTAAAGAATGTCTCAATAGTAGCGCCACTTAACACTGGAACCATTAAGAAAAAGATAATTTTGTTTTTTTCCAAACAAAGGATTAACTATAATAATAAGACGGAGTGAATACCCAAATGAAATAACACAGTCAATCATAAATTATATTTAGTATAAGTCGAGAAGATAAGAGATTAGATATAAACTTCAACACATCTCAGTTGTGTAGAAGCACAATTAAAGAAACATGTGAAAATAATTCACCTATAATGCTAAGAAGTGAAAAAATTACAAACATTTTGAACTACACGGAAAATATTGAAAACAAACGTGGTAGGAAAGTGTCCATTTCCGTGTTTTTTATTATTGGCGTTGTAGAGGTTGGTAAACAAAAGATAAGAAACATTATTGTATTTATTTATTGTGTTGTAGTTCCTTCTGTCATCAATATTTTATTCATACTCTGCGTTTTTTCTGGAATTTGTGGACGATGGTTTTTACGACTACCACCAAGGGTTCGGGGTCATTATCATTTTTGTGGGTACTAAAAACATATCAGGTAAAAAGTCATAATTAAGAACAAAGCTTTTTTCACAGCATATTATGGAAAGTCAAAATATAAAATCACGGTTTAATGTTAAAGAATGCAAATGAGAATAGACCGTGTTTACTTATACATGCAGAGCTGCAAAATGTTTAGTTTAGTAAAGAATTTTAGGTGCCCTCACAAAATCCATTTGCGACTACTACGAAAAGAACACATTAAGTAGAGTTTTTATAGTATCATCCACTATAATTTTATGTCTTTCACTGCTTACATCATCATTCGTCGAAGGGTTCGAATACCACTTACTTCTCTACGGTATTATACCAGGTAAATTGGTTAAAATTATGAGGACATCATTTATTTATTTTATTTTATTTCAGCATTTATATCAGGATGTTTGACGACATACATTAAACATATGCAAGAGGAAGAATACGATTTTGACCCAAACTTATACGACAGTATATTATTGGTATCGAAAGCTTTAGGTCTGTTTTGTATGCCAGTGGTATTAATTTTTGTATCCGATTGTTACGGCACCTCAAGGGCTATATGCTTGTTTGCCTCGTTGGTTTTAAACGTGATACCGTTCAGTTTGTTTCTGAAGACCAAGACAAACCATTGTGTGAAGGTGAATAGCAACTATTACAGCCTGACAAAGTATGTAATCATTTTTACCTTTATACCCAGAGAGCACATATATCCATAATATTTAAATTAGATCTAATGGATATCCAATGGATATCTACTGGACATTTGTGCTGTCTGGGTATATCTGTGACTTTCAATATATTCTAGTCCTCAACCAATGACTGAAATGGCGGTTTTGAATGATAACAAGAATGAAGCTTTAATATTGTCGTCCAGTTCATCTTCATCCGGTGATTACGAAGAACCATCTAATGATTTTTGGGCTGAAGAGGTACAAGAGGAGGAAAATAGAGATGATGGAGCACCGGCGAATGTAGTCATGTTAAATCCGATACAAGATTACTATAAATTATTTGGAGTTAATATTTTACCCCGCATAAGAGAGGAGAGTGAGAGTTCGTCGACCAATGAAATAAGTGTGAAGCGTTTAAGTCAAATAACAGCTAAATTGGAGGAAATTAACAAAAGCGATAGGAGAAATAGTGTGGAGGTACCCCAAATAAACCTTAGGCAACCCACTGAAGAACCAAGAATACCATACTATACCAACGAAATAATGTTTCTTCAGGACAACCAAGGATGTTGTACCCCATACGAATCCTACCTCTGGAAACGACGATGGAGGATATTGCTACAATTTTTCACCCACAATTTTTTCATACCACTATTCAAATCCCTTACAAATCTCAATTATTACCCACCTTTGATAACAAAAGTGTTAACATCATTCCTATCGAGTTGGTTTATTATATCAGCGCCATATTTAGCTTTGGTTAAGAGTGAAATTTTGCAGAAAAAATTCACGACACTAGACTCCATCTTTTTATCTTCCTATATAGCCTTTGCATGGTGTTTTTTCCTCATGAGTCTACCAGCAATCACAAAACAATCGCATCTAAGAACAAAAATTATCTACATCATTGGAAGCGCCATATTGGCCTTAAGTATGCTGTGTAAGTGAGTATTATTGTTTTAGACACCTTGTTTAATACTTTTCTTTTAGTTTCCACCAAAAGACTTACTAATGACGCCATAACACTAAGCTGTCTATTTTTTGGGTTTGGTTACGGAATGACGTCGTACTCTGAAAACATTGTTTTCAAGGATTTTTTGGGTTCCACGCATTGGCAAGACTGTCGAGGTCCTTTGGAGGCTCTAAGTGGTATTTTAATGATTGTGATTTATTATGTTATAGACCATTATAGAGTAGACTACGAGACACTGATTTTGTATAGTTTTTTGATATACTTCATGAACATTTGTACTTGGATAATAGCCCCTCTACTTAAAATTTTAATAAAATATTTGAAGAGAAGCTTTATGTATAGACAACAAGAAAACTTGTTCTAATGTGATATTTTGTAAATAAAGTCTTAAAAATATGTCAACATTTATTGTCAAATTCTACAAAACCTAAGGATATGTTAATTCCACATAGAAAATATAATCTTATTCCTTTAAAGCACATGGAGAGCCAGTGGTGCCAATATCAACGTCATCAAAAAATACTGTCTCATGAGTGCTGACAATAGGAATCCTAAACAATTTTCCTTCAGGCATACAAACACAGACTTTATATTGTCCAGTTTTAATGGTGTTATTTCTTGGTTGTGCCACAGGGATCCTATTCATGTCTATGTACACCCCATCTTCCCCACTAAGTATTATACAACCGTTTACGGTCTAGATAGATATCTTGATCTGCACTCCAAACTATCTCGCGCTATTCTATTTTAGTACCTTCTGTGCCTTTAAGGTTTATGAAACTTTTACTTTCTATATTCAAATCTTCGTCGATGGCACTTTTTATTTGCGACGTTTCCAGTTGCTTTGTTGTGAAACTTTTGGCGGTTCCAAGAGATTCAAATGTTGGTTCTGTTGTGGTGAATATAGAGGTGCCATCTGGGGTTTTTATGACAAACGTATTGACTCCTTTTAGAACTGTAAGGTTCTTGAATATCTTCAAAGTCGTAGGGAAACCTCCCGTTGGGTTGGACAGTAAAGAAAATATCACACTGCTGTCCATAGATGATATGTCCATTGTATGACCAGAAAAACCTCTGAAGGTACCTTCGCAATTCTAAAAATGATCTAAATCGATGTCCTCATAGAAGTTTTTTTGGTCAATAATTTCGAAATTTTGCATGCCATAGCCCACAACACTCCTATGTATTTATTGAAATTATTGTTACTGAGTTTAAGTGAATAATTAATCGTATGATTCTAAAAATGTAACATACAATATTTTATGAAAAAAAAACGCTTGAAAAATATGTCAACATTTATTGTCAAATTCTACAAAACCTAAGGATATGTTAATTCCACATAAAAAATATGATCTTATTCCTTTAAAGCACATGGAGAGCCAGTGGTGCCAATATCAACGTCATCACAAAATACTGTCTCATGAGTGCTGACAATAGGAATCCTAAACAATTTTCCTTCTGGCATACAAACACAGACTTTATATTGTCCAGTTTTAATGGTGTTATTTCTTAGTTGTGCCACAGGGATCCTATTCATGTCTATGTACACCCCATCTTCCCCACTAAGTATTATACAGCCGTTTACGGTCTTTAGATAGATATCTTGATCTGCACTCCAAACTATCTCGCGCGATTCTATTTTAGTACCTTCTGTGCCTTTAAGGTTTATGAAACTTTTACTTTCTATATTCAAATCTTCGTCGATGGCACTTTTTATTTGCGACGTTTCCAGTTGCTTTGTTGTGAAACTTTTGGCGGTTCCAAGCGATTCAAATGTTGGTTCTGTTGTGGTGAATATAGAGGTGCCATCTGGGGTTTTTATGACAAACGTGTTGACTCCTTTTAGAACTGTAAGGTTCTTGAATATCTTCAAAGTTGTAGGGAAACCTCCTGTTGGGTTGGACAGTAAAGAAAATATCACACTGCTGTCCATAGACGATATGTCCACTGTATCGCCAGAAAAACCCCTGAAAGTGCCTTCGCGATTGTACAAATGATCCAAATCTATGTCCCCATAGAAGTTTGATATGTTTTCTTGGTCAATAATTTCGAAATTTTGCATGCCGTGTCCTAGTTTTAGAACGCTCAGTATAGTGATGGTCAATATTAAGTTCCCAATCGCTAGAGTAAACAGTAGACCTACTAAAATCCAGAAAGCAAAGGTTTTTCTGCCTCTCGTGCCGGGCGGCCCGCCCACACCATTCCCCATGTATTTATTGACATTATTGTTATTGTGTTTGAGTAAAGAATTATCGTACAACTCTTTATCTTGTAAAGAATATGTATCAAGTTCTTCAGTAAAGCTCTCAGAAGGTAAAGGAGGACTTGATGACGGAAAATCCATATTTTGTATACTAAGAAAAAAGTTATTTTAGTTGAAGTGATAAAAAACTAATTTTTACTTACTAAATTTGTTGATTTCTATTTATATACCGAAGTAAACATATGCAGACGTCGCGACGCGTCGGTCGATGTGTGTAGACATCGACGCGCGCAAATTTACGCGCATGCGCAACCAAAGGAATTTGAAAAAATAGATTTTTAAATTTAAGTATTTAATTTGTTAAATACAATCACAGATAATAAAGTAAGCGTTAACATTATAGGATTTTATAACAAGAATGTTAATAACAAAATAAAAGTGTAACAGTAAAACATATAATAAAAAATAGTGCCCTATATTTTTAATAAACTAATATTTAAAATTAAAAAGTATCTACAATGCTTTAAATGTTACACCCGTAGATTCTATATGCAGACTAGATTAACAATTTAATATAAGTATATTTGGCAATTTTAAATATAAAAATGTACAAAAAACTAAATTTGATTTATAAAGATTTAATTATTGATATGTTAATTTAAAAAAAGGCAGTTTTACGACTTTGGCCAGCAATATACCCCGATTTGACTACCCTTAACTTTTCCAAAAATAGACGGATTTAAACCAAATTTTCAAGATATACAAATAATGTTTTCGATAATTTTAATGTCTATTGTTACTTATTAAGGGATCTTCCACTTTGTAGTCCTCATCTTTTAGTTTTAAGTACAAGCAAATGCCGAAAATTACGCCAAAAATGTTGAACCAGCAAAATCCAACCCCGGTGGCACTCATTAACCATAAACTATCGCTAGCGCTTTGTAGAATTTTGTATAGGCACCCCTAAAAATGTATGTGTAGTAAAACGCTTATAATTAAAAAACTACAAAATTTATCGACTTCAAATTTTAACCCAATATTCAACACACTATTACTTATGTTCGCCCCAAATTTTAAATTTGCAACCCTAAAAATATACGTACAGCGATATTTATATTGGATGGTCCATCGCTGATTTTTCCGCAGCCTCTTTGCACAGTTTTACAACAACTATCAGGAATTTTTTGCAACTTATCGCTGGTTTGGTACCAGTAACTTTCCTGCCAATCCTTAACCCACTCACTGCCACAACAACGGAACTAAAAATACAAAAATGTAACGAGGGTTTTAGTTTTAGTGATTCACTAACTTTTTCTTGCACTTGGTCTACAGAATCTGTTATTTTTTCATCTATACCATAGTTTGTTAATATGGTTTCGTTGAGGTTGAGTTTTAAGTTTTCCTCCACGCTTTCTTGATAAACATATGACATTATTCCTACCATGGCTTGGATTAGTAGGACCAATAGTAATATAAAGATATACTGAAAACAAAATATGGTAAAACTCGATGTAATACAGCCAAAAAAGTTGCTTACAAACAACAATAATATTTGGCTGCGTTTTTTATTTGCCAGACATCCGATTGGGACAGCCACAATTGCAGCTAGAATTCCTGAAGCTAACAATGCGTACAGTAATATTGGAAAGCTTGGAGATGTCAGGAGAGACATGTAAAAATAACTTTTCAGTAATATCCATGTTACAATGCCCAAAACTGCCGAGCTGGTTATCTAAAACATTATGTGTTTGTGTTGAAGTTAATATAGATTTTATGTATATTTATTTTTAGTTTGATGGAAACGTTTATTATCACCGACTTACAAACAAAATGATGTTGTATACTTTTAGAGCTGAACCAACACAATCAATAGTACAGCAATTTTTTCCCATTTTCACTTTTTGTGCATTTCAAATTAACCTGCAATATGATATAAAAGATTATTTGCGGGATTTATTTTAGGAGGAGTGTTTATGTTGTATTAAAATAAATGAGAGCTATGTTAAACTGGATCAGGGATTGGCGACCTAAATCTGAAAATCAATGAAATAAAAACAGCGATTTCGTATAAATGTTTTTTATTAATGTAAATTTATAATAAAAATATATATAAGTATATACCTAGTGCTAAATTAACATGGAAATGTTTTAGAATACTTGCGATGATAATAATAATAATAATAATAAATATATACATCATTTTAAAATTAATAGCATTATTTTTTGGTAAAAAGCGTTAAAAAATAATTGTAACGCGATTTGTAGAATTTATATCACTGTACCCTGTCTACAAGGCAAAATTAAATAAATGCTAGTTAAATCTACTTAAAGTATCCTCCAGTTGGCCGACAATATTTTTGTAGAACTTAATCTGATCTACTAGCAACGTTTTCATCGATAAACGTAAATCAGTATTCTTCTCCATCTGGAAATGATTTAACTCGGCGAAAACCGCGTAAGTCAAGCAATCTCCTCGCTTTCGTATATCATTGAGTTGCAATGGGTTCTGTATGGTTTTTTCGCAATCTCTCTTTTTCGTTTCCGACGATTTTTGCAGGTGCAAAACGTCCGGAATCGAGCTGGTGATACCTTTGTATATGTACAGTTTGTCCGACAAAGCCTGCCAATGGTCTCTAGCCTGGTCTTCGTATAGCCTGCCTATTTGCATATACACTGTACCTAGTTGTTGGACCTCTGCAATAAAAAGTTGCAAAGATACAGAGTTGCGGTAAATATAAAGAATATTGACTGTAATAACATGTACAAATTTCAAAACCATAGCATTTGTCGTTTTGGAGGTATTGTCAATTTTAAATGTTGGGCGCCACCATGTCAAATCTTTTATAACTCAAAAATATACAAAATTTACTTTTTTCTTTGAAATAAGTTGGAAAATCTAAATTTTATACGTAAATCTATTTGTTCAATTGGTATACAAATTTGAAATGCGTAATTATTAATAAAGAAAAGTTCTATCTCAATGGATCAAAATTAATCATAATTTGTTTGAAAAAAGTGTCCTATTAAAAAAATAGATTTTTCGAGTTTTAATTTATAATATTTAAAACTAAAAAATGCTTAAAAGGGAGGGCAATAAAGTTAAAAGGAAGGATCATAATTTTTTTACTTTAGGACTGCAGTTTTTTGTTGACTTATTTGACTAGCTTCTTTAGCCCTACGTACTACAAAAAGTCATTCAGAATTGTAGAGCCAGGGCCGTCCCTAACTTTTTTGCCGCCGGTGTGCGAAATGAAATTTGCCGCTCCAGACAAATGGATTTCTGTTTTAAACCCGGGTAAAATTTTGAAATAATATTGCGCGTACAAATACAAAATACACTTTTTTTGTCAACAATTTAATTATTTATTCATTTATGTCAGCAACTTTTATTATTTTTAACTTTATTGTGCAATAAATTGAACTTTCAAAAGGTTGTTAAAATAAACAAATTATTACTTTATTTTGACAAAAATCAGAAAGTTCAAGTGCCTATTAAATGTTTATTTAAAAACTAAAAAGAATGTCAGAAAACTTGTCTAAAAAACAAAAACACTTGCAGTGACAAGTATAAAATTAAGGTCAATTCACATTACTATTTCAATTTCAATTTTAGTATACAAAAATCTACAAATTCATTATTAAAACCGTTACTTTTAAAATTTTTAGGTGGAGAAAATATGTATGAAAATTTGATCAATTGCTTTAAGGTTGAGGCATTGTTGTTAATTAATAAAAACATTTCATTTTTAAATACTAAAATTAAAAATTAAATAACTATAAAAAACATTTTTGTAAAAAACCGATAGCAATGAACTATTGTAGTGTGAATTGACCTTAATTTTACGGTTGTCACTGTCATTGTCAGTGTTTTGGTTTTAGGTTAAGTTTTCCGACATTCTTTTTAGTTTGTCGCACCTCTACTAATTTTTTCAAAGCAAGCGTGTGATTGGCAACTTCATTTATTTAATAACTAATTAAATCGGTGAGAATAAGAACAGTACAAGTCCAAAAATTTAATTTTGACATGTCATTTTTAAAAATCAATTTTAAAGTTCAAAATACATTTTTGTGAGAATATTTTAACTATTTTATAAAATATAATATTCATATTCTTTAAAGATAAAAAATTTAAAAAAAAATAAAATTTTTGGACTGTTCTTATTCTCACTGATTTAATTATATGTGAGCCAGATCGAAAAACGCCTTTACGTCTTCTTTTGGGCTCTGCTATAAGTCCTAGAAATATGTTACTTTTTTTATCACCCAGTATATACGAAAAGTTAATAAAATCGATGTAGAAAATTTTGTATTAAATAGCCTTATCGCTAGGACTCATTTACGAGTTATAAGCGGAAAACCGAAAAAATAAACTTCCTAGGAGTTTAAGTATGTTTTCCTTATATGTTTTAAAGTGTCGAAAAAAAAATGGGGAAAAACCTGTTTTTTTCTCAAACAAAAATTGTATTTTTTTGGAAAATATACAAAAAGTAGCAATCAACAACTTAACATTATTTTAATTTAAAAAAATATCCCTATAAAAATAAAACTAAAAATGTTTAGTTAGATTAAATTAATTTAGATTTAGATTAGAGTTAGATTAAATTAATTTAAGTAAATAAACGTAAACATAAACGTTAAATATGGGAGTCCATTGAAAATATCCAATTACAAAATAATGAATTAAAGTTAAATTACAAAATTATAATTTTATAAATCGAAGTGTTAAATAAAACGAAACAAATATGTTTTTTTTGCGACCCGGTAGAATATTCTTACTGAATTAAAATAATAATTATAATAATCATAATATTATGATTATATTTAGCGTCGGAAATTCGCTTTTTTTCTCAGTATACTGATAGTATCCGTAAAAAAATGGAAATTTTCAGAAAAATTTACTTTTGCGTTTTTTTTGAATAAAATAAAAAAATGCAAGCCCCATGGTCAAAAATTGTGATCCCTCCATTTCCCTCTACAATATTTTGTCGACTGGACTAAGGGGCGTCCATAAATCTCCTGACGATCGAGGGGGAGGCGTCACGTGACAAAGTAAATTGAATTATGTTTTTTTTTTTAATTTTTAGTCAAATTATTACAAAAATAATCGAAAGAAATATTTTTAGGGGCTAGGGGTCTTTATATCGTATCATTCCGTCGCGAGGGGTCAATTTTGACCATTTTTAGGGTCACGAGATTAAATTATACTTAATAATGTAACATGAATCATTTATGATGTTTATCCATATTATTATTTATCTTTTATCAATTAATATTATTACAGTAACTGTTTGTTTTACGTTCAAAACAAAACATAAAATAATGCATACTATAAAAGGCAATGTTCTGGGTCCAATAAAACAAAATAATAATAACTGTAACCTTAAAAAGGTGGGCACAACTTAGAACTGTTGACCTTTTAATTTAAATGTCAGGCTAAAAATATTCTTGACGCAACGAAAAATCAATTCAATAATTTATTAAATTTCAACACCCTTAAGGGGGGTGCCGCACTGTATGGCATTAAGGGGCTCACCTGTGGCGACTTCGCTGGGAATTTTTCCGTCCAAATCGAGACTGGAACCGAGGGCGAAAAAGCTCTCGCCGATCCTGTGAAACTCCCTTTTGTACATGTTCGAGCATTTGTTCCACTGATCCTGGCACGTCTGCATCAATTTCTTGACGTTCTGATCCATTTTGACGATGTAGTTGAGGTTGTCGTCGATTTTATCCTTGTCGGATTGCAGCAGTTCTTTTTCTGGGGATTCCAAGGACATGCAGAAGTTCGCCCCCACGAAGGGGTCTTTTTCCGCCTGCCGTTTGCCCTGCTTCCATTGCTTTTCGTCCGTGCACGTCAAAAAGTGGTACCACACCTCGCACTGCGACAAAACCGGATGTCGGCACACGTAGTTCACGAACTCCTGCAGCTGCACTCTCCTGTGCTCGATGAACTGCTCCTCATACCTAGTGTTGCAAACAAGGAAAAGTTCGGTCGAAAAGTTGGAAAAGTTGTTGGAAAAGTTCGGCACCCCCTATGTTGGAAAAGTTGGAAAAGTTATTGGGTGGGAGCCAATGAACAATGAGTTGACTTCTAACCAGTGTTTCCACTACCATAAATTTTTTTTGGTAGATAATTTGGTCAAAATTCGATATAAATCGCTAGAATTGAAGTGTTTTTAGTAAAACATGCTAAAAGCATTGTTTTTTGGAATAACATTCTGTCAAACTTTATCAAAAATGGTGTCTGCTAAGTTAGCATTTTCTATTATATACATAAAGATTGTTTTATTATAACGTATTTTAAATTTATACACAACAAAATATTATTTTTTTTTAATTATGGAAATTTGCATTTTACTTGTAAATTTCCATAATTTTTAACAACAATAAATTTAATAATTTTTGCTTCATATTTTTTGTAATTATTTTTTATTTCGTATGTGTGTTTTATGGTGTGTATAAATTTCTATTCTTTTTTACTTAAAAAATATGATTTTCTTAATTCAAAACTAGTTTATTTTTGTTGTTATTGTTATTGTTGTCTGTTCATTTTATTTTGTTTGATATTTTTTTTTGTTATTTTGTTACTTATGTACCTATAAATACATAAGAAATAAATTATTTTAATACATTGACCAGCATTATTTATGTTTTATACGTTTACATTACAACCATCTTTTCCAACTTTTCCGAAAAATAAAACCCAACTTTTCAAAAATTTCAACTTTTCATGAAAAGTTGCAACCCTACTCGTACCTGCCTGAGATCTGCTTGTCGGGCAGAGGAGGCACGGCGACGATGTTGAACTTGTCGCACATCCTGTCGTGCAGCCAGTCGAAGTGCTTGTACCGCCTCGAGACCTCGATGTTCGAGAACGACGGCGTCAACGAGTAGGCTATGAAGGACTTCAGGCCGCCCATTTTGGTAGCCTTTTTCGGCGACGTCACCTGCACCGTGTACGGGTTCGATAAGGGCTCCCACACGGCGAGGCACTGCTCGTCGCGGTACACGTGGATTTTTTTGCCGTGCGTCGGTTGGTTCAGCGTGCCTTAAATAAACGTCGAAAAACGTCAATTTAAAAAAATGCTATAATATGGAACGTGCCTATTATACGGGGTGTAAAGAAGCACCTGAAACTTTTTTTTTCTAAAGACAAAATAATTTATGATAACCTTTAAGCCTCATTTAGAACCTCGTAATTAGTAGAATAAATTAGTGGTTTCAATTAACGTAAAAGTTTGTCTTATGAATATACACTAGACTGGGCCAAAAAATCGACTATTTTTTTTTGGAACGTATATCGAAAATATTGTTTGGGGTTACAAAAAAAAATTATGGTGAAAGTTTGAGTCCATAATATTAATATTAAGAGGTCTATCATCGCAATTTTAGATTTTTTTTTCCTGAGCGAGTTTTTGTCTCAGAACTCCCAAATCATTGAGTTTAACAAAATTGACTTAAGAATATTTTTTGAAGAAAATTGAATGCTCTACAAAAAAGGTTTGATTGGAATTTCCCGTCAGATGAACCCTTTTCTTACAATCATGCCTTAAAAATTGGTATAGTTTTACAATTTGATCTTTTAACTTTGGAATATTGTAATTCAAGTAAAAATCAGCACCCTGAAAAAAAAACGATAAATATTCTTATGGGAAATCAAATGCTCTACAAAAAAGTCTATTACAATTTTTGGCTAAATTCACTCCATCAAAAGTTATTCAAGGTTAAATTTGAAGTCAAAACGAAATTTTAACCTTATAATAATTATTATAATAATAACTTTTGATTGAGTGAATTTAGCCAAAAATGTTAAGAGGCTTTTTTTGTAAAGCATTTGATTTCTCATAAGAATATTTATCGGTTTTTTATGGGTACTGATTTTTACATGAATTACAATATTCCAATTTAAAGATCAAAATGTAAAACTATACCAATTTTTAGGGCATGATTTTAAGGAAACGGTTCATCTCGAAAATTGTGCATTTTAGAGCATAACTTAATAGCGACTTTTTTCATCTTTTTGGATGAGCTATCACATCCTGAAGTCCTGCGCATATATTATGAAACACCCTGTATACACAGTGTTGTTCACAACCAACAAATTGGTTGTAGTACTTTTCAATTAGTGGAAAAAGTTTGCAAACTCCAAACTTTTACCACTAATTATAATTGGAAAACGGCTTTGCGCATGTGCGCGGGTATTTTATGTCAAAAGCAAAGATTTGCCAGTGAAGGTAAGGCTATTTACCTAAATATTATTGTAATGGTTGTAAAAAATATTATTTTAATATAATTAATATTGTTTGTCAGATTAAGAAGAATGCAAAATCTTTTTAGCAAACTCCATTAATTTTAGATGTTAATTTTGCGCATTCTGAATGATCGTTTTGTGTTAATTATAAGTATAATTGAAACCACAAATTTTTTCCACTAATTACGAGGTCCTGAATGAGGCTTTATCCTACCAAAAAGTACGCCACTGATCGACTAGGAACCGTAGGCTAATCTGGTTGCCTAATTTAATTTATTATGTTATAGTTGGTAACAAGCACCGTTTCCAGATTCTGTCAAAAAAAGTTGCCAGATTTAGTTTAAATTTAGCTTAATTACAAAAATAACAAAATCAACAATGAAAATTGTTAATTTGGCGTTTTATGTCATTTTTGTAACATTTTGTACCATTTATTAGTGAATTTCTTTAAATTTTTAGGTTATGTGCTCAAATTGTAATTAATTTTGTGGTTATGGAGTTTTCAAAATAATTTACTAATTTTTCTAATCATTGCTTAAGCTAATAGCTGGATGAGTAAATAAATGCAAACGGTTGTTAGAGCTTTAAGGGCATAAAACTGTTGTATTTATTGAGTTTTTATTTATTTTTTGCAAGAACAAATTTTAGTAACAATTTTTCTACTACTGGCAACGTGCAACTACTTTGTTGGTGTCTCTACATTTGTTAACCAAGTTTTTAAGGCATAAGGGTTTTAAAATTAAGTTGTAGGTATTTTTCTAAATTTAATGTTTTTTAATAGTATAGGTAGGTATTATGTATCAAATACTTAATATTATTTAAATTAAATATTTGTAAAAAGCGACATCTATACGAAAATAAAGTAACCATTCCAATCAACATTTTTAACGTAATTAAACCATTAACATTGCCCGTTATTATTTTAATTAATCTTAACAATTATTGATACTTCAAAATATTAAAATAACTTCAAAATATGGTTATGTTAAGTAAATATTTTATTCTTGCAAAACATTATCACAAAGTATTAAAATTCTTACACGGGAAATGTTAAAGGTACAAAAAGTGACAGTTGTATTTATTGGAATTCCCGTTAAAATTTCTGACTTGAGAATCTACCGGCGTTAAAATCTCATATTTTTCTGTGTAAATCAAAATTATTCCCTTGAAAATAGACTAACAATCGATATACAAGCATGTTTGTATTGAGATAATAAAATAATTTTCACATTTAGTATTACTTTACAAGAATGGCACTTTATTTTACCGATTGTATGACATTTGACAACTGTCAAGTAACTTCAGCCCGTGTCTAAAATGTGTTATAGGCGTTTTAAATGTGGGAGTGTAAAAATAAAGTAATAACTATTTCCTCTTGATTTTTTTTTAAATAAACGATAACCAAGTTATAATTTTTTGACACCATCAGTTCAGAAAATACATCTGGCAACCATGTCAACATCAGCTGCCTATTATTTAAAATTATCCTTTTTTTGTTTTTGTAATCTAAAAAGTTTTAAAATAATGTTCTCAGAACGACAATTTAAATATTTTGTATTATCTGGGCTAGATTATGAATTTTAAATTCTAATGGTTTTTAAATCATTCCAATGCTTTTTTAAATGTTAACTTTTTTTGAATTACATTGATGCCAGCTTGTATTCGATTTTAAAATGAAAATAAAAAAACAGTTTAAACAATAAATAGGTATAATTATAAATATTATTATTAGTTTTTCAATTTTTGATCAACTTAAACAAGATTTTTATATTTAAATCATAAATAAAAATTTGTATAAAATCAAGATTATTAGTATGTAAAACTTTAAGTAGATTTTTTAATAATTTAATTTTTAATCATTTAAACCTTTAAAAAATCGCCGCCACTGAGCCAACTGAATTTAAATTTATACAGAATCGAGATTAATTCCACAAAAAGTTGAATCACAAGCGGTTAGACTTCACAGTACTAAATTGTCTATACAATTTTTAACTTATAATTAAAAACATATTTTCTATAAATTTAATTTTTTATATTAAATTTCAAATGATTTCTGTTTTTTGTGAAACAATGTTCAGCTAAATTATTTTTATCTACTCATCAAAAAAAATTAATTTGTGTTTTAAATGCGTTTCTATTTTTATGTGATAATAATATTTATTATTTATTTAACTATTAATAAGCATTTATTAATTAATTATGTTTACTAATTAGCCTATTTTGTTCATATTTTAATTAATAACAAATAACTAACCATAATAAAAAAAACAAAATATAAAAATATACCCACTATACCTAATAAACAAAAACCGTTATCTTATAAAATTTATGGCAAGGTATATGATTATAGAGCCCATTTTATTAGACTTTAAAATAAACCACAATGAAAATTTATCGCTCGTCTAATTAAAACCGCTTATCAGACGAATGTAACTCCCTAAAATGTCTCCTAATTGACCACTAGTCAGTGACTCATACTCTGAAGTCATTGTCTTCAAATTTTATCATTAGAAAAACAAGCTGGTGCTTTTTTTTATCTAAAATATGCACCTATAAGTTATTATCAAATGATTGCCTACTTTAAAGCGGAAATTGATAGTAGCAGTATTTTTTGTGGTAAATGTTTAACAATGTCAAAAACTCCAAAAAGTTTTACTTAAAAGTGTAATATTTAAAATTAGCGTATAATTTATGATTACTATAATTTATGTTTGACATTCTTAAAAGTTCATCCAAATTAATTTGAAATTTTTTAGGCAATGAAAAATTATCTTGTCCTTTATAACTTAATATTGTAGATACAGCAGTTTTGCTTAGCAGGGCAGTATTATAATAGGTATCAAATTTTAATAGGTGGGGAAAACATAAAAAAAGTTTATATTTACCTAGCATATAGCTCTCCAATCCTGACTTCACATAGTTTGAAAATCTATTCAGACTTTTCTTCGACACTGTGCCCCCTTTGTTATCCACATGAATATCAGCTGTATTATTACTATTACTGCCGTGAACGTAGTTTTGATTTGGTTCATTGGCATATACGCTCTCTCTTGCTCGATTATTTGTTCCCTGTCCTATTTCTGAGTATGTGTCATCGTTATCCCACTCATCATCCCAGTCAGCTTCCTCCTCAGTGGATTTCTGTTTGTTGTCATCCAATTCTTGATTGTACACAGGCGCCGGCATGGCAGGGGGGGATTCCTTCATTCTTTGTACGTAGGCTTGGGGAAAAAGTCCCGACTGCCCCTTTGAGTTTAACCCCTCCCACCAGCCCTCTCCCACATCTGTTCTGGTAATAGTCAAAATCTCCTCGGCCTTTATGGACATTTCGGACGAGCCTGGCTCCCCATCGAAATCGTACAGAGCCAAAACTTTAAAGGTCGACATTTTGACACTTAAAATAACCTTAAAATTATCTTCGCACAATTCACTGCCACTCAATCACACCAAAATTAAATCACATACGACCCACTTTATCACTTTTTGTTACTGTTGAAACGTTATTTATCAGTAAGCAGTAGTTTAACAATGTTATTCGTCATCTCACGATAGGATCTTGACGTGTGCACAATCCATTGTGGACGTGTGCAAGGTTGGCAATAGATGACAGCACTTTAAACTGACAGGTGTAAGCGACGTTGCTAGATATCGCGATTTATCCTAGGTTTTTTATTTTTATTTAAATACCATTATTAATGAATTTGAAATCAAGAATGAATCTTAAAACGGTGTTATAATATATTTACCAGAGGCGTACGCAGAGACAGACTAACCCATTTTTTAAGAAAAAATGTTTTTGCGTTTTTTTATATATCTCTCATTATTTACAGAATTTATTTAAGAAAAAAATACCGTAATTATAGTTATGATTAAGGATTAAGAATTTTTCTTTAATTCCGTTGAAATTAAAAAGAAATAAAGACTTTATTATAAAGTAGACAGATAAAGTTACCATTTCATTGAAATCAGAACTTGAAATTTGGACAATTCCGAATTTTGACTGAAAAAATTGATATTATTTCGTCAAAAACATCATTTTTAATGTGAAAAACTCGATTTTTGTAAATATTATAACATATTTTCCACATAGTTTGGTTTGAGGACCTGGCAACACCGTTCGAACGCGAAACTATCGACATTGAAAAATTGAGACAATGCGGTTTAAATCGTGATTATCTTGTAAACAATAAGGAAAACCACAGGTAAATGATATTATATTATAAATTAAATAGGAGGACAAAAATGTGTGTTTTTATTTACAAGGTTTATTAAAGTTTAACCCAATCAATTCCGTGTTGTAAAAAGTCGTTGTATTTACCATAAACATTAGCATTTCTATGATTCAGGGTTACAATTTTTGTGTAATCAGCTAAAACGCAACGTAACCTTGCCTTTTTATGCAAATAACGCGCGTCATAATCAATATTTGCCTCCAAAATATACCTTAAAACGCCAAATTAACGCAATAAAACCCAAAATTCATACTTACTGGAAATTTCACACTAAAATTGTTAAATTTGGCGAACTGTCATAACTTTGGAATACCAAACGAACGTCAAAAACAAAATATTCGGCGCATGGTTGATTGTGTTACGTAAGGCGGTGCGATGTTGTCATTCGCAACGCCGGTAAAGAACTGATTAGTTTTCTATTTGAACGCGTGATGAATAGACGGAAGTGCGCAACCATTAATTTGTGGTATTTTCGCCTGTTTAGGCAGAAAAAGGTTTTGCCTTTTGTGGGGCTAGACGACACACTTTTAAGTAGCGTACATACATTAAAATATTGCGAAATTAAGTTGATTTGTAAATGACATTTAGAAAAAGTTTAATAATTGAAAAAAATATAAACAAGAAATAATTTTTTTGATAGTTATTTACAAAGTTATAACTCTTGACACTGAAAATTTAATATTGTTGTGGTTAAATTGGAGTTGTTTTTTCATTTGATGTATGGGACTATTAGTTGCACCTTTCAGATTAGATAATTGATTTTGAGCCCACGATTTTATTCATAAATTATTAATTTGACCGACAAAAGGTTTCGAAATGCAACGAGTCGTAAACAAATTGCCTTTTTCGTACAGATGCATCTTTGAGGTCATTAAAATTTATTTTTACTTGTTTTTGAATGTTTTGCCACATAGGTACTATTTTTAGCTTAAAATATTTTTTTCTATTCATCTTATTTTAACAATTTTTTATAAGAATTATAAATACAGGGTGTTTCATACCAGGAGGCGAAAAATGAAATTCTATATTCAAAACGTCATTCTAAATAAAAATCTTTAATACTTTTTTGTTCTATCATTTTTCGTTTTCGAGTTATTCGAGTTCAAAGTTTTGAATTCAAACAATGAAAGGATAACAATATGCAATAATAGGATTCATAATTCTAGCAACCAAAATATACATCCATGGAAACGTATATGTGGTCTAGGTATGTGGTCTTCTGCCTTATTTGTCATACAACCTGTCAGTTTATTGTAAATTTATAAACAAAATGGAATTTACGAATGAAGAATATGCAGACATTGTTTTTATTTACGGGTACGCAAATGGAAATGCTTCTGCAGCTTCCCGAGAATATCTGCGTAGATTTCCAAATAAACGACAACCATCCCGCCGTGTATTTTCAGACGCATATCAAAGACTCCGAAGAAATGGTATTGGAAGCAAGCATACAGGAGGTGCGAACTTCAGACACAATGCTGGTCAAGAAGAGCAAGTAATTAGCTGGCCATACACAGACGTTATTGCGCGCGGTTTATCGTGTTATCTGCAAAAACATATGGAAAATCATGTACGTGAGTGAGTATCGCCGCGTGCAATGATAGAACGGGAAGGGATTTCAAACGTGCTTTCCTCTGGAGTGTGGAGTGTCCACACGCCACATTCCGCGTCACGGTTTACCTTTGCTTGGCAAAATTTCACGTTGAAAATTTGTACATGATCACATGCAGTTTCAAACGACTCGATAAATGACACTTTTTGCCCACTCACATACGATTTTTCCTTTGAAACTGATATACCACGGGCAATCACTTGCTAAATCATTTGAATACTTTATCAAGTGTATGGAACATGACGCTTTTTTTGCCACGCCGTTCTTTCGTGCATGCAAACCGCTACATGCCAACACGCCACGATAAACCGCGCGAAATAACGTCTGTGTATGGCCAGCTATTGACGCTGTACTTAACGAACCCGGCATTAGTACCAGACGTATTGCTAGTAGGCTGGAAGTTTCTCATAGCTTTGTTTGGAGAACCATACACCGAGAAGTATTGCACCCGTACCATAAGCAAAATGTTCAGCATTTGTAGCCAAATGATCACGAGCCACGACTTCTGTATTGTCAATGGCTGCTTCGTCAACATGAGCAAAATCCAAATTTTATTTCTTCCATTGTATTCTCAGATGAAGCTACTTTTACCAGAGATGGTATTAATAATACCCAGAATGAACATGTATGGTCGTTGGAAAATCCACATGCTACGAGAGTGAGACATTTCCAACAGAGATTTTCAATTAATGTCTGGGGTGGCATTTTCAACGGGCGAATTCTGCCAATTATAGTCCTTCCCAATAGACTAAATGCCGAATCTTATTTAATGTTCTTACAAAATGAACTTAATGAAATGCTGGAAGATGTCCCTGTGGGTTTGCTAAATGGAATGTGGTTTCAACACGATGGGGCACCACCCCATATTGGTAGAAATGTAGTGAATTGGTTGAATAACAACTTCAATGGAAGGTGGATTGGTAGACGTGGCCCAATATTGTGGCCTGTTAGGTCACCGGATTTAAATCCGCTTCATTTTTATTTATGGGGACACATGAAACAGCTTGTCTATGCAGTCGAAATTACCACCGAAGAGCAGCTTATGCAAAGAATAATAGATGCGGCGGAGCAAATACAAAATGTACAAGATTTTGGACGAGTTTACAATTCTGTTGTTTTGCGGTGCCAAGCTTGTATTAATGCATGTTTTTGAAAATGTCCTGTAATATTACAGATAAAAAAGTATAAACTACAAATTGGTCAATTGTCAATCAATAATTCTTGCTGACATATTAGCAATAAACTGACAGGTTGTATTACTTAAATAAGGCAGAAGACTACATAAGGTTATTTTTTTTTATCTGGACTAGTGTTTTTTTATTAAGTTGGTTGTTTATGTCAGTTTGATTAGTATTTTTAGGATTGGTATCTCTGTTTTACATAATTTGACAGTTTTTGTCAAATCATTAAATTTAAACAGAGGAATATCAAACTCCAATGTATTTATGTGATTTAAAAAACGTCTCTGTACAAATAATTATCCTACAGGACAATAACGAAATACTATTTTGGTCAAAAACCTATTAAAAGGTAAATATTTTTTGATTTCTTAACCACAAATATTAATTTAGTTTTATAGCTGCCAATATAATAGAAATATTTGCCAACTAAACCCTTAAGTTTGCAACGTTGCCGCAGTCCAGATAAAAAAAAAATTAACTGTATTATAAACTTAAATACTTATACGTTTCCATGGATGTATATTTTAGTTGCTAGAATTATGAATCCTATTATTGCATATTGTTATCCTTTCATTGTTTGAATTCAAAATTTTGAACTCGAATAACTTGAAAACGAAAAATGATAGAACAAAAAAATATTAAAGATTTTTATTTAGAATGACGTTTTGAATATAGAATTTCATTTTTCGCCTCCTGGTATGAAACACCCTGTATACTGAATGAAACATTATTTTATTTTTACAATTTAAATGAGTTTTTTTTAATTTAAATAAAAAAAATTGTTTTAGCATTTAATGCTTTTTATTTTATTATTATTTTTAATAATATTATTATTAAATTTTAAATTGTCTAAAAGTGTTAAATTTGTTTTGATTTATTTTATCTTATGGGTGAATATATTGAGATTTCTCACAAGTGAATGAAAATGGTTATTTTTTATTTTTGGTTGTTTCACTGTTAGTCTACAATGGAGTTTTTGGAAAGCCACCAGGTCTTGTAATAACATAACATATGTAAGTGGTTCTGCATTAATGCAGGAATTTTAAGAAATTTTGAATATTAGAGCTTCACGGAAGATAGCTTCACGGAGGTTAGGATTTAAATTAATGAACCTAAACTTTTAAATTATAAAACAGCAACACTCTTATCTGCATATAAATTCTAACTGACCTTCAGGAATCACATGCATCTACATATATGTCGTAAACAGAGGTTTTTATTAAAAATGATTAAAGCGCCATCCGTTGCATAAAATTTAAAGCAAAAACAGATTCACGGAGGATAGAATCAACCTACATAAATGGTAATAGAAATTATTTTTTAAAATTTTTAATAATATTTTATATTTGATTCGATTGCTTTGGATGTGTTTAATTTACTTAGTGAACTGATATTTTTGGTATGCTTTTACTACCTCAGATATTTGAAAACCTAGAAAGAGTAACAGTCACGGAGGATAGGTTTTAGACTTTTAAAACATTGTAAAATATAATTAATTTCGGTTAAAAATCTGGAACCTGGGCTGTAAAATCTACTTTATTATGAAATATCAAAACACAATAAAAGTTTAGGTCAAACTCATTTAGTTTTATTAAATATCAGGGGGTATTGTTCCAAATTAAATTTTTGTTTAAAATATGTAAACAAAATACAGGGTGTCCCATTATTTTTTTTTTTTGTGAATATTTCGAAAACCCGACGTTCGATTGTTTTACTGTTTTCACCATTTTAATCGGAATAAAAAATGGCACAAATTAGCTAATTTAACCGATTTTGTAGCTCCAATAATAACGGAGTTATGTTTATAATACCTACTATTTAAAAAGTCCTTACCTAAAATTATAAAATAAATAAAACACATGTTTCCTTATGGTAAAAATACTTATTTTATTAAACTCGTTAAAATCGTAAAACACAAAAAATAAAAATAAATAAATGTAACATAACAATAAATTATATGGAAATCATCATACTCAGGCTGTAGCTGAAACAAAAATTCAAAAAATATCATCCAAAAAAATTAATTAATTAATGTTTTTACAAAAGAAATTTTCTGTATCCTAAAGACTACTACATAGGTATAACATTGAAATTTGGAAAAATTTTATTTAAAATTTTATCCATCCGTTTTTGAGACACGATTTAAAATAATTTAATAATAATTATCCCAAGTTTTAGCATTTTGCATTACTGTTTTTTCTAGATATATCTTTTTCGGAATAGTTACCTTCAATAACGGGGGCGGATTCAACCACCGCCGCCGCTGGTTCAGGGACTGGTGGTTCAGGAGCGGGCGCTTCTGCTGGAGGCGCCTCAGCTGCTGGGGCGTCCGCCGCCGGCGCTGGGGCGGCTTCACCTTCAGCGGGGGCGGCAGCATCAGCCGCTGGGGCACCTTCTGTGGGGGCCGCTTCTGCCGGTGCCCCTTCTGCTGGTGGGGCGGCTCCTTCTGCGGGAGCGGCTCCTAAAATATATTAAAGAAATACAAAAATAATAAAAACTATAGTCAATCCAAATGAAAACACCAAAAATGAATTTAAAAGTGCGCTGCATGATTTTCTATTTTAATGAAAAAATTGAGGATGATCTTTTAGGTATCATATATGAAAAACCGTTGCCGTTTTAATTTTTAGTTGCTTTATTTTTAATCGGCACTCTTTAGAAACCTGAAATCGTGTCATTGTCTTACTCTCTTATAAGAGGCTAAAACTTTAACACTAAAGATTTGTAATAGGTAATTTGCCAATTTTTGCGATTTTTGTCTGGCTCCTGTGCCTATTCTGCTAAATATAGAAAGTTGCTTTTTTGAGGTATCAAGGTATAAGTAATACAATAGAAAACGTAACTATTATTTTAAGTTTCTAGACTATCATTTTCTTTATTAAAAAAAATATTGAAACTTGATAATTTTCAAAATTAGCCAATTTTGCCCTCAGAAATCATTATGTTGAGGAAAAAATAAAAATCTGAAACTCTCAGGAGATGCAGTCCCCACCTTTATCTTTTCAGTCTAGTTAGTCTTGTTTTGTTATTTTTATCCATGTAAAAGATATAATAATTTTTTTAATGCAGGTAAGAAGCGATAATGTTAGTTTTATTTATAATTTAAAATTTAGATGGCTTTGACTTAGTCAATTCATGTTTGGTAGAGAAATGTTAGAACTGTCAAAAATATTTGATAAATATTATTTGTGCGTATTTAAATTGTGATTTCAAAAAGTTTGCAAGTTTGCAAGTGTAATAAATGACTGAGTGTTCGAGATTCATGAATTTAATTGCAATTAAAAATGAAACAACATATCATAATTTTGTACCTCTTTCTCATAGAAAATATTCAAGTTCTGAGAAGTTTTACCCATGGGGAAAAATCGTCTAAAGACGATCGTCTTTAGACGCGAATTCGTCCAATCGTCTTTCAAACGATCGTCTTTCAAACGATCGACTTTCAAACGATTCAATCGGTTGCGTATACCTATAGGTTAGGCGGTCGGCTGTACAAACGAAATATATATTTGAAATTCTTCTCTATTATAATAAAGAATTTCAAATATACTTTGGAATATTTGGAATTGTCTATTATTCGAAGTAGGTAGGTATCGCCTTTAGAATTATTTTTTTAATTAATTTAACGCTGTTGCTGGTGCACCGCGTGCGGTGTACTATTCTGCACCGCCAAATTATATATTACGTCATAAACCCAAACCAACCCAAACTCAACAACACAACCCAACCGACCCCGCCCGCGGTGTACTAGCAACAGCGTTAATTTAATTAATAATTATGACAAAATAAAAATATTTTCTCATCGGTTAAGTTATAACTTAAAATTTTAATTAAAACGATCGTCTTTTTTCGACTATTATTTTAGACGATCGCCTTTTGTATCGTTTAATTATTTAAACGATCATCTTTAGGGTATTTTAGACGATTAAAGACGATCGTTTAAATAATTAAACGATTTCGTTTGAAAGTAGACGATCTTCTTCAGACTATCGTCTTTTTTACAAAAGATCGTTTAAAGAATTAAGCGATATCGTTTAAAAATAGACGATCTTCTTCAGACGATCGTCTTTTTTTTAAACGATTTTTTCCCATGGGTAAATTGTTAAAAAAAGGCAAAAACCACAAAATATTCTAAATAAACCCCTTTATTATAACATGTTTTATTTTAACCAGTTACCTGAAAACTAAAATTTAAAGAAGTATTTACAGATTGTGTAAATTTTTTCCAACACTAACATTTATAATACATACATATAACTTTTAACTATTCAGTGCCTTATTATAAAGGGATCAAAATAATAGAACAAGACCAACTTGGTTTAAATTGTGAAAGAAACCGACAAAAAACTGTATATATAAACTATATACATATATATATATATATATGATTATACAATACATATAATATAACATATTTCATAATTATTATATTTGGTATTCCTTTGGTGATTTTAAAAAGTTTTGTATATAAAATAATAGTTATGACATATTATGTTATACACAAAATTTACCAAAGAAATACGCACAAATAATATTTATGAAATACCTATTTTTGACAGTTCTGACACTTCTCCACCAAACATGAAAGCCATATAAATTTTAAATTATAAATAAAACTAACAATATCGCTACTACGGGCATTAAAATTAAAATTAATATACCTTTTAAAGGAATAAAAATAACAAAACAAGACTAACTGAACTGAAAAGATGAAGGTGGGGACTACATTTCCTGAAAGTTTCAGATTTTTATTTTTTCCTCAACATAATGATTTCTGAGGGCAAAATTGACTAATTTTAAGAATTATCAAGTTTCAATATTTTTTTTAATAAAGAAAATGATAGTCTAGAAACTTAAAATAATAGTTACGTTTTGTATTGTATTTATAAGTACTTGATACCTGAAAAAATATAACTTTCTAGATTTAGTAGAATAGGCACAGGAGCCAGACAAAAATCACAAAAATTGGCAAATTATCATGAATCTTTGGTGGTTTACCATTCTTTTATGAGATTAACTAATTGGATAATAATAATTTATATCGAAAACAGTAAAACAAAATTAAAATCATTTCAATATTAGTCACAAAAAAAAAGTTCAGGCCCACTATAAGAGAGTAAGAAATTGACACGATTTCAGATTTCTAAAGGGTGCCGATTAAAAGTAAAGATTCCAAAAATTAAAACGGCAACGGATTTTCATATTTGATACCTAAAAGATCATCCTCAATTTTTTTATCAAAACAAAAAATCAAGCAGCGCACCCCATTTGGTGTTTTTATTTGGAATGACTCTATAGTGAAATGAAGAAATATGTTAAAATTACCTTCTGCGGGTGGGGCGGCACCTTCTGCTGGTGGGGCGGCACCTTCTGCTGGTGGGGCGGCACCTTCTGCTGGCGGGGCACCTTCTGCGGGGGCAGCTCCTTCAGCTGGAGTTGCGGCTTCACCTAAATTATAACAAAAATATCAGAAAATAACATTTAAAATGTACATTTTAAAAACGATCGGTTGTATATACATATGGTCTCTTGAATCCTTTATGAACTGAAAATGCTGAAAAATACAAAAACAATATATGAAACGGTGTGACATTGAAAACCTATGGAACGTGCTTAATGAAATGGTGGTTCAAAAAGCACATACCTTGTTGCTGCAATTTGGTAAGAAGATCCTCAAAACTCAAATGAGCTTCGGGATTATCCGAAGTCAAATCGACCACTTTATATTTAAGTGAGTTTTTGATGTACAACACCACACCATCCCCGCTATTCTTTCTGTTCTCGACTAGAGAATAATTCGGAATAGAAACTGCGCCCTTGTTGTCTGTGGGAGCTAGAACGTTCTCTGGTAGAGCTATGATGTCGTAATTCTCGTCAATGACGAGCTTTTTGAAATTTTCGAAACCTATAAAAAATCGTATCCAAGTTTTTTGCTGAGGGTCATACAAATACCTATTCTCTGATAGCAGTGATGTAATGTATCGAGATACATGTATCTGGATACTGGATCTAGATACATTTTATGTACCTAGATACGTATCGAGATACTTACAAAAATCAGGATCTACTTTAATATCTAGATCCTTTTGAAAGTATCTAGATCCTAAGATACAAGATACATTTTATTTTACCCAACCCGATTGCAACCCCACACGGAACATCCAATGGATATACTCTATGGATATCCAGGATATACATAGGATATCCTGGATATCCATTGGACATCCAGTAGATGAACTTGCTTTATAAATATCTATTGCGTTATAAGGTCCAAACAATTTTTTTCTTTGTCATTTAATTTTTAAGTTTTTAAGTAACAGAAAGTATCTGGAAGTAACTTAGATACTTTTTGAATGTATCTGTATCTGTACCCAGATAGTTTTGGGAAAATGTATGGGTATCTGTACCCATGGGTACATCCCATGGGTACATCTGCAGATACATCTGCCAGAGAGTATTTGTATCTGTACCTAGATACTGAAAAAAAATGTACCGGTTACATCAATTTGTGCTATCAGACTGATAGCACAAATTGCTTCAAAAACTCTTGTAAGAAGCTTAAGGAAAATTTTCTTGGAAAAAACGTTTTTACTTCAGCTTGATGCTTGATTTTCAACGTAAGATTTAAAAAACTAAAAAAGAACAAATTGTGCTATCAGGATTTTCGGTTAGCCCCAATAATTAGCGACAACCAAAACTTTCAATTTAAAATAAAACGTTAATAAACAGAAAAACTGCACCTTCAGTCGGTTTTTCTCCTTCAGGCACTGCTCCTTCCGCAGGGGGGGCTTCTCCTTCCGGTTTCGCTTCTCCTTCCGCTGGAGGGGCGCCTTCCGCAGGTGGAGCTCCTTCCGCAGGAGGTGCCCCCTCTTCTGGGGGGGCGCCTTCAGCCGGTGGGGCTCCTTCTGTTGGTGGGGCGCCTTCTGCTGGGGGGGCGGCTTCCGCAGGTGGTGCCCCCTCTGCTGGGGGGGCGCCTTCGGCCGGTGGGGCTCCTTCTGCTGGTGGGGCGCCTTCTGTAGGGGGGGCTATTTCGGGTTTAAACAGGATTTATTTTTTCAAGATTTAAGGTTTTGCTCTTTTAATTTTATGTATACAGTGTGTCCACGGATTGACTTAACCATACTTGTGAAAATATTTATTTTAATTTTTTTCGAAGAAAAGTCACTCATAATTTCTTCTGATTGTTATATAAATACCATTCACGATGAGAAACTTCTATTTTGTTACACAAAAAATATAATTGTAGATTCTGCAAAATTAAAAATTGTTAAATATTTTTTTTGAAGGTCTAATATGAAGAGCTTGAAGTTTTTTCATGTGAGTTGTTGTTACTAAGATATTTGTTATTAAAAATAAAATCAATTTAGGTCCTAACTTGAGTGGTCCTATTATTTTGTAGAAATTGACTGCTATCTCATTTGTGATTATTAAAGATGGGATATTTAGGTACTAAAAACTGAAAAATAGGTAACTAAAAAGGTACTAAAAAAAGCATTTTAGGTTAAAAAAAACAGCATTTTAGGTAAAAAAAAACAACATTAAAAGTTCACGTTTTGTTTATAATTTTGTTTAGCCGCATACCCAAACACAGAACATACCCACAATAAACTATTTCTATGCAATACACTGTGTTTCACTGAGTGACACTTACTACACAGAAGTTCTATGACAGAACATAAGCTCACTACAAAGAAGGAAACTGTAAAGAAAGTCTACAATTATTTGTTAAATTTTTTTAAATTTTAGATATTAAATATCTTAGTATCAAAAACTCATATAAAAAAACTTTATTTGACTTTTTGCTTTTTCTTTACCATCCCTTTATATTCAAAAAATTTTAATTTTGAAAATCAGTATTTTTGCTCACCCTGTACAACAAAATGGATGTTTCTCAACCCTAATTAAATTTATATAACAAGCAAAAGAAATTATGAAAAATGACTTTTCCTCGAAAAATCAAAAGAGCATGACTTTTAGTCCAGGTTACGGTCTTATATATAAGACCGGTTTTCATAAAATATACTCTTACCCTCCTCGGCTTCCTGAAAAGTAAATATTTTTTTTAAAACTTTAACTACTTTAAATTGGTAATTTTTAACAAACAACAATACTTTTCTATAAATTTTTTATATTTTAACTTGAAGGTTTTTTATGTTGTTCTTAAAAAATATGAACCTATCGTTTTATGGAATTTCAAAAATCTTAAGGGTTAAAAAATGGTACAATCTTGAATCTATAGGCCCTTAAGGGTTACTCATTTTACTTATTTTTACATTTTTTGGATTAAAAATTAGAATGTAGAGGAGTAACCAATCTTAGATTAAAAAGTTAACTATTTAGAAAAAATTTCTAACCCCAGGGTTATTTTCGTAAGTAATATCATAAGGGCATTTAATTTTTCCGAAAAGAATCGAAAAAACACGTTGCTAAGTAATATTTTAACAAAAAGCATGAGTGCTGGTGGCAACAAAAATCCGAGTCGAAGAGGAGGATTTTTGCACCTGCACGAATGCATTTTGTTAAAAAATATTACTTAGCATTGTGTTTTTTCGATTTTTTTCACAGGAAAAATTAGATGCCCGAATGGTATTTGAGTAACAGTTAACAATTAAAATATAAATTGCAATTTTTGGTGACATCAGCTGTCAAGTTTTGCCGCGGGTAAACTCGAAAAAACTGCTGACAGGTGCTGTCACACAGTTTTTTCACCTAGAAACCATTTGTAATTCAAAATTGCGCGTTTGTGATTGGTGGAAATTAAGACGAGGGAAATAGTCTCCTAGAAACCATTTGTAATTCAAAATTGCGCGTTTGTGATTGGTGGAAATTAAGACGAGGGAAATAGTCAGATTAAAATAAATATTAGGCGAAAATATAATTTTTTAAATAAACCCTTAAGAACCTTAACCCCAAGGGTTAAATCATTTATTAGTATTTATTTTAAACATTAAATATTTATTTTATTTATTTTTAAATTATTAAGTTTTTTTAACTTTTTAGGTTGTATAATCCCAAGGGGTTACAGATTAAACCATTTTTCTTTGTAGGTATATTGTGCTTCTGTTATTATGTAATGTTTTAAATAATGAAAAAAAATCACATAAAATTGTTGTATTGTAAAAATGGCCTTAAAGGTACAAAATAAAAATAAAAATTAACAAATAACAAAAATGAAATAACAAAACAACACAATGTATTAAAATATTTTTTTAATAATTTAGAGTAATAAATACAGATGTTTAAACATACATATGTAAATTCACATGGAGCATGCGAACGGTATTGTTTATTTATTTTGACAGACGGTTATACAGTTCATGATTAAAACTAAAAACAAAAGACAGGGTTGTTGAATATACAGTACAAGAAAAAAATTCAAAAAAGGTTTCCTCATGCTTCAACCTCTTCTACCTTTTCTCCCTTGCCCTTGGTCCAGTCTGGTTTTTTCTGTAAGAAAAAAATAAAAAAATATATGAATTTTTTGTTATTTTTTTAATGTAGGAGAATACATTTGCCAGGTAACTTTTTGTATTAGAGCAAGGTGCGGTTTAAGAAACACAGTGAAATTAGAAAAAAAATGACAAAAATGGATAAATATACTATAAACTATTTTTTAAGATAAAATAACAGTGAGATAAATATAATTTCTTTGTGGATTTATCCATTTTTTATAAAGCATATTTTTGCAAAATTATGTATTTTTAGATACATTTAAAATTCATAATAAAAACATACAAAAATATACAAAATATTTGACATTTTCCTAAAAAATTGATATAAAAAAGTGTGGTGTGCAAAAATGTTTTTTTCTAAGGTTGATACCTTAACCTTAGATTTAGTGTCCTGAAAAGGCAATTAATTAAAAAAGTGCAAATTATTTAAAAAATCCAAAATACATTGAATTTTTAGCAAACATATTAACATAATAAAACAATGTGGCAGCGCTGTGTGTTATTAACGGCAACAGTGTAAAGTTATATATTGAAGCTATTTTGCGTTTGGCTCACCTTCAAAAGGTTTTTCCCATATTACAATTAAGTAAGTATAAAAAAAAAATTAATAAAAAAATGGCGCCCAAAGTAAAAAAACGGTAGAGCGTTAAAAAGTGTGTATTGTTTTTAAAGAAGTATAAAAACCAATTTGGTTACATATAAATAATTTATTAAATGTTATTAAGTATAATTATTGGCGTTATTATGGATTTTTGTATTATGTGTAATGTGTAATTATTATCTATTTCTTCTGCCATTCTGCCTTCTCCTCTGCTTTGCGCTGCGAAAATAATACAAACAATTCTAAATGTGTTTAAAAATTTAAAAAACAACGACTTTAAACCCTTAAAATCTGATTTCGTATAAAAAAAACTTTTCGTCATAAAAATCACTAATGCTTTGATAACTGTCAAATATTTTGACATCTGTCACTTTTGACAGTTCTTATGGGTTTAGAGCCGCCATGTTTTTAAATCGGTGTGTTTGAGTGTGTATTGCATTTGTTATCGAATTGTGGAATTTTGACAAACTTTTTTTGCTTAATTTACATCCAATCGTAAGTAATTTTGACATGTCAAATATTTGACGTTTGATTTTTTGATTGTGCAATACTCACTTCTTTGTCTTCTTCTTCTAAGGTGAACTCTTTCTTTTTGACCACTTTAAGTTGGTTGCGGAAGTTAAACTCGGCTGCCTTCTTTTGCAACTTGGCGAATTTGTTTTCGTATTTGGATACTTTCTTGAGGGTGGGTTTGACGCTAAAAAGGTTTTTTTTTTATGAAAAAGGGTTTTTAAATTTTCGACAGTACTCACAATTTGCCTCTGAGGTCATTTACTTGACTGTTGAGATCAGAAATCTATAGGAAACAAAAGTTGGTTAGTAAATGACGTATGAAACAATCGATGGTGATTTATTCGACCAAATGTTTGTTGTCAAAAATATTGTAAGGTTTTTTTAATATTTGGTTGAATAAAACTGAAAGGAACAAAAAAATTAAAACATTCATTTCAATTTAAAAAAAGTTTAGCCCCCAACTTGTCCCGATTTATCTCCCATTGGTTTTTTCATTTAAAAAACATGAATATTTTATTTTTTTCGAATAAATTTAGTAAAGTGATGTTTGTACAATCTAGTGACACAAACCATGCACAAAACAACAAATGGGAAAAATTAGTAAGAAAATGAAATGGTTACCAAAAAACAGCGCTTCAAAAAGGTACAGAAAATAGGGACAAAATAAGGTGTGGGATACAGGTACAGAAAAAAATGGTTCTACTCTATTTTGCATACAATGCGTCGTATAGACACAAATACAACAAAAATGTACATTACACATACAATGCGGAGAAACGACAAAAATTCGTATATTTCTCACTTGGGGTACCAAAAATACAAAAAACGCCTGGTTGTTTACAGTTTTTGTCAAGCTGTTACCTATTGATTAATCAAAAAACCAATCCTGAAATTAAGTTGGGTTGTGTAACAAAAAAGGGAAAAGCATGGCACTTCTTTGATTCTTGCTCTGGTTCCGTTTACGTAGTGTTAATATTATTTGAGGAGATTTGGAACGTCAAAAATTACACCAAAATTTTATTTACACAAAAAAAAATTAAGCATGAAATGCCATGCCGTAACGGATGGATTTTTATAAGCGGGAAAGCCTTTACTGTTTTCATAAAAATAAAGCTTTTTTGTTAACGAGACTTTAACTGTATAATTGAAGCTCAAGCGGGTTGAACAAAAATAAGGACAGGTTAAAAACGATGAAAAACTTGATGGTTTTTTTATTTACACAAAATGTGTTGAGGGGTTAGTTTAAAAAAATGATTAGGAATATATGTATACGGCCTAACACTTCATGTATTGCTTATTAATTAATTATTTGGTAAAAAACATGGAGGTAATCAATAACAACGCCACTAAACTGATTTTAAACGAAATTTTATCATAAACCAAAATATCCAGAAACAAGTTTCCAATACTTTGAGATTTTATATAATTATTTTAGGCACAATTCAGCGCGCGCTCTCTCGAGTGATAGTGTATACAGCCACGTCCGACGTGGCTGTATACACTATAATTTTATCACTATTGGTGTAAAATCAGTGGGTGGGCCTACATAAAATCAGATTAAAATCTAAACTAAAACATGTAGGTAATCGATAAACAAATGATATGAAGCAAAAACTGAAAATCAAGGTGTGTATTTGGATTTTAAAATCTTTTTTTTTTTTGAATTTTTTTAGTGTTTTGATGTGGCACAGTTGGTATACCTCCCAATCGCGCTTGCGAACTTCTCGTTCCAAATCCCATTTTTGTTCCTCGCAAATGTACATTCGGGCATAATAATCAGAACAGATCTTCTTAAGTTGGCCTAGAAAAATCGGAAACGGAACCAGCGTTTAGCAAAATTTGACTCAAATCAGGGTTTTACTGTTGACTACTGAACACGACTCTTTTAACTGAAGAGGGGTCTTCTATACAAACTCTAACTACAGAAAAGCACTTGGAACATTATATCTCCAAAACTACTTGAATAAAAACCTCCTAAATTTATATAAACATTCAGATTGACTCACTTGAAGTACCCTCAAAATTTCAAGCCTCTAGCTTCAACAATTCCTGAGATAAATGCTTTTGTTTTCGAGCGCCCAGAAAATTTCAAACCCCCATGTATAAAAAACTACAATCCTAAAATTGTTACACAACATTAACATTAACATTCTTTATAATCGTTCCAAATTTTAGGTTTGTATGTAAATCGGTTCCCGAGATATACAAGTTTTTGATTTGGAGCGCCCAGAAATTTTTAAAGGGTTGTAATTTGAGAACTGAAAAAGCTTCCACTTTGAAATTTGTGGACATAGTTAAGGTTAACTTAGTTTATTCAAGACCAAATTTTCTATAATTAGCGATGTTTATTTGTTAAGATATACACAATTTAGTGTCGGTGCCCTAACAAATTTCAAATGGCTGTATATTAAAAACTAGGCGACCTAAAAGTTTGAAATTTGGATATGTTATATAGCCAAACTATATTTGCAATTATTATCTATCTTCAACAATTCCTGAGATACATGCTTCTATTCTCGAGAGCCAAGAAAATTTCAAACCCCCATATATAAAAAACTATAAACCTAAAATTATTACTCAACATTAACATTAACATTCGTTATATTCGTTCCAAATTTTAGGTTTGCATGTAAAACGGTTCCCAAGATATACAAGTTTATTAATTTGGAGCGCCCAGAAATTATTAAAGGGATGTATTTTGGGAACTGAAAATGCTTCAACTTTGAAATTTGGGGGCATAGTAAAGGTTAATTTACTTCATTCGACACCAAATTTTCTATAATTAGCAATGTTTATATGTTAAGATATATAAGATTTACTGTCGGCGCCCTAACAATTTTCAAATGGCTATATATTAAAAACTACGCGACCTAAAAGTTTGAAATTTGGATATGTTATATAGCCAAACTATATTTTTAATTATTATCTATCTTCAACAATTCCCGAGATACATGCTTCTATTCTCGAGCGCCCAGAAAATTTCAAACCCCCATATATAAAAAAACTATAAAGACTTCAATCCTAAAATTGTTACAAAGCATTAACATTAACATTCTTTATAATCGTTATAAATTTTAGGTTTGTATGTAAAACGGTTCCCGAGATATACAAGTTTTTGATTTGGAGCGCCCAGAAATGTTTAAAGGGTTGTAATTTGAGAACTGAAAAAGCTTTGACTTTGAAATTTGAGGACATAGTTAAGGTTAATTTAGTTTATTCGACAACAAATTTTCTATAATTAGCGATGTTTATTTGTTAACATATTAAAGATTTAGAGTCGGCGCCCTAACAAATTTCAAATGGCTGTATAATTAAAACTACGCGACCTAAAAGTTTGAAATTTGGATATGTTATACAGCCATTTTTGTACGACATTTTGGTAATTTTGGAGACACTATGAAAAAAATGTTGGTGCTTTTGAGAGTTAAAGTTTTGTTGGACTAGGTGAAGTCAGCTTGGTAACCTAAACATTAGTTTTGCAAATATATACATTGCGGGTAAAAATAATAAATATAAAATAAATAAATTAATCAGCACTGTTATAAATATGCTTTTCCAATAAAAACTTTAAATTGGCCATTCCATTTAAAAATCAGCTCCTCTAAAATTAGCAAACGTTGAATAATCGTGTTTGATTGTATTGTAGGTACCTCAAAGGCTTTCATTCGTTCTATAATTTCAAGGTCATACTTGTCCGCTTCTAGCTTTACGATTTTCTGGTAATAAGTTTGACACACAGTCTGTAGTTCCGCTAAAACGTGAAAAACATGCATCTTCAATATATACCAGTAAACCACCACAAACCATAGTGAGATGCATTTTAATTTACCCGTTTATTTTGTGTATCTCCAAGTATAGACAACAGAGGCGAGATGCAAGGTGCATCTCGCTGATGTTTTTTTCTGAGGACAAAGAGGATAAAGGAGAGGATAAGCAAAGCTTGAAGCATCTGGAAAGTACTGGTGCTTGTATCTTGAGTTAACATTTAGGGAAAGTACAGAGCTCTTTGGTCATTGTAAACTGGATTACATTGATCAAAAAAGTTGTCTGCATTTGCCAAAAAATAAGTGGCTGTGCAAAAGCTCTCTTGCAGAATTTCTTACTTCAGTCAGCTTGAAATTGCAAGGTACAGGGTGTTCCACAATAAGTTACACGTTTTAAAGCTTTCTTTTGACAATTGGGCGCCCAGAAAATTTCAAAACCACAAAATGCATGAGCTTGAAATTTGGTCACATTATTCCTAATTCCTAAATTTCAAGATCATATATCAGGCAGTTCAGACTTAATATCTTGGCGCCCAGAAAATTTTATAACCGCAAAATTAAAAATCATATGGTGCTTAAAAAAGTGCAATTTATTCAGCAAAACCCTGCTTTTAAAATATTGTGTTATTATTTTTCTAATGCGGGGTAACATGCCCTCCACAGGTTTGTCTACCTGGAAATCTCTGAATTCCACTTCTTTTTCAAGATCGAATTTCTTATTTTCAAGTTCACTTATGAGTTTGTGATATTGGTTGCATATAGATTTTAACTGACCTATACAAAATTTTAAAGTTTACTATACAAAAATCATCACAAAAAACCTACTTATATATAATAGTAATTATAATTCATGTAGCCTTTTTGTTACTCAAGTACTAAGAAGATAGAGAGATAGAGAGTACAAAATAGTAGTTAAAAAAAATTATCTGCATTCAAAAAAGCCCTTAGCACGTTTGCACTTCCCCAAAAAATTAATAGAATGCAGAAAAAACCGTGCATATAATCCTTTCTTTAAGTCTAACCTCAATATCTTTTAATCTAACTAGATATTCCAAATCATATTTTGAATTCTCCAATTGCTTAATTTTCTCATAGTAGTTCTTCAGTACACTCTTTAGTTGTTCTACACAAAAATTACATCAAAAATTTGGCCCTATCTCGTCATAAAAAAATCTTCATTACAATAAATAAGACGCTTACCTTCGTTGGCATCATCGATAAGTTTTGGTTTACCGCAACGCTCTTCGATGATACGCCTTCTTTCGGCAGCTTTACGTTCTTGTTCCTTCTTAAGTTCTTCAGCAGCTTTCTTTCTCAACAACAACTACACCACAGAAAAATGAAACATTACATTTACCGCAAAACAGTCCCTCTTATATACCAACCACCAACCAGAACACCGGTGAGATGCAGTGCCCTATATATCCCCAAGAACTGTCAACAGTGGTGAGATGTATTTGCATCTCGCTGGTGTTTGATGTAGTGGGCGGTATATAGTGGTTGAAATGCTTACCCTAAGTTTCTTCTTTCTTTCAGGGGTCATGAAACCTTTCTTGGCTTTTTTGGCCTTGGAGGCTTCTTCCATGCGGGCACGGACCTCGGCCCTTTTGCGTTCAATTTCCGCCTGCTTCTTCTTCTTTTCCTAAATTCGGCAAAATTGATTAGTATCGTGTGTGGTATTTTTGAGGGGAAGAAAGAAAAAAGGTTTCGGGCGCTGGAAACCTTCTTTCTTGCTTCTAGAGGTGTACTGAGGTACATGCCTCGGCAAGTCTAGCTTTCGGATCGTCGGCTTTTGGGGCCTCATCTTTTTTAGCATCTGCCTCGGCCTCTGCTTTCTTTTTTGCCTATAAAAAGAAGAACAATATTAGAAATTGCGTTTAGAAACGCTGAAGGAGAAAAATGTATAGTGAATATGCAAGTTGACTTTTATATACAAAACCATTAATCAAACAGTGGTGGGATGTATTGAATCATTTAAAATATACATAAAATTCACTATCTATTTTTCCATGAAATTGCAGAAATGGTTAGCTGGCTTTTCGTAATCACACAGTATACTTACTTTAAATGCATAGCAGTTAGGCTTAAAGCGTTTGGTTTATTTATAGAACCTTGTATATAAATCTATTAATGGCTTAGCAAAATATAGAGCATATAAATGTAACTTGAATAGAAGAAGATTAAAGCAAAACAACTGTATATTTTTGATACAAACCTTATAAGAAAGATGAGCCCCATATCTTCTTTACATTAACTCTTATACTCATATACTGGAAGAAAAAATAAAGTTTAGTTTAAGTCCACAGGGTTTTTTTTATTTGACACCTACCTAACCTCATCATCCGCCATTTTGAAAGGGTTTTTGTTGTTCTAAAAAGAAAATATGAGTTAATACAAAGTTATTTGGTAATGTTAAGTGTCTTGTTTATTTTTAGATCATTTGTATTTATAAAGTATTTGGCAAGGATCCAAATTGAACCAACAGGGAGCCAAATTTGGAAATGCGTTGTTTCGTGTTATTTACGTTTTAGCCAAATATTTAATAAATATTTAGATTTTAGGTGAATGTTGAAGTGTTTTTCAATGATTTTTAAAAATGTAACTATTTTTAGAATTTAAATTAGGTCAGGTACTTCGACATAATCATAGACCATAGACTTGAAAAACGACAAATTTCACTAAATCCTCCACTCGAATTCACTTCACCACACTTTTCACTGAAATAATCCTCCACGGGAAAAATTCTCTCACCTTTTTTTACGATGGAAACCTAGTGAGCAGCTTACGGGAGACTCTCGAGCTGACTGAAGATTTTCGGGTGGTTGGATTTGCATTTGGATGCTTGGAGGCCCCCACTTTCGCCCCCCCTCCGTCGAAAATTTTGCGTCGTCGGGCGTCCGCGTCGACCGTTTAGGGGAGTAGTGGAAGTACCTCGCGTCGAAAATAGAACTATCAAGTTACTATTTTTTGATCGAGAGGCTTGAGCTTAGATGAGATGTTGATCGCATTAGCAGAGCATCGGTTTTTGATGATATCTTAGAAATTAGTAGAGATGGAAAGTTAAACTTTTAGCATCTTAAATTACATTCTATACTTCAAAAGTCTATAGACTTTAAAAATAATTTAGTCAAAAATGACTAATTTAATAGTTATTAGTGGCTGCTTTTTCACTTGTACCATGGTTAACCATGAAATACCATGGTATCCCAAAATTTAACAGCCAATTCTTATGTAAAATTATCCCCCGAATCCGAAAATGTCGTCAAAAGTTAAAAAAGTAGAACAGTTTTTGAGATATAGTCAATTTTCCATTTAATATGGAATTGACTATATCTCAAAAACGGCTCCACTTTCATAATTTTTGACAGTATTTTCGGATTCAGGGAAAAATTTTACATAAGAATTGGATGTTACATTTTGGGATACCATGGTAATCCATGGTTAACCATGATACAAGTGAAAAAGCAGCCACTAATAACTATTAAATTAGTCATTTTTGACTCATTCATTTATAGAGACCAGGTTTAAAGGTTTATGAAATACATTTGATATTGTAAATATCAGAAATAAATCCTGGAGATACACCATATTCTTGTAGTATTAAAGTTGATCAAAGGTTTTTTTAGTATAGTCGTAGATGCAACTCGTTTTATAAACTTCTCTAGAAACTCGTTTTCATTAAACACTCGCTCGCAAGCTTCGCTCGTGCTAAATAAAACTCGTAACTAAAATTGCGTTCGTAAAACTTGATCCATAATATTTAATATTTTAAATCAATTTCAAACGAAATAAAGAAAAAATAGACAAAAAAATATCTTTTTAAAATTCTTATTTTCTTTGTTTCTTATGTTTACAAAGCGTTAAAAATGTGAAAATAGTAGTCTGAATACTACTTCATCAGAAAAAAATATATCAATTGAACTACCAAAAGGTACATTAACCAAGAAGTTTACAATTTAATTTACTCAGTAGCGGCGAAAATATACTGGTTTAGCCTACAGGTATAGCACAAACACCACGTAATTACCCTGGAATCAAAGGTTTGTGTTTATAAATATTTTTGTGTTGTTTGTATCAAACCTGTACCCTCATAGCACACTTTATTCTAAGAATGTTTTTTAAACCTTTCAGTAAGAATATTCTTAGGATCATGCTATATTTCTTCTAAAGAACATGCCTATAGGCAGGTTCTTAGAATGTGCAAGGTTTTAGTGGTAAAAATTGGTCTACTTTAAACATATGCTTAGAATGTTAAGAAAGTAATTGCTATAGAAAGTTTATTTAGGAATATTCCTGTAAAATATACCATAAACTACGTATAAAGGTATATACCTACCTATACTTAAGTACCTAATTAGTAATTAGTATTAATTACTAAGTAAAAAACACAATCCAAAATATTTTTTTATAGTTATTTGTCAAATTAAAACAATATTCCATAACAAAAATACTTTTACTATAGGTATTTTATTTTATGTTAAAAATAAATATTTATTAATTTGTATACCGATTTTTTATCTCTGAATTAACATTTTTATGTATAATAATCCTAACTATCTTCAACTTCAATCTAATCTGACTTATCCCACAAAATTTTCCAATTTTACTTTTTATGAAATAATGTCATACAACTTATGGTTTAGAGGTCAAATTGTTTATTTAATATTTTTAAATAAATATATATTAATATGTCGCAAAATTTTTTAAGGGGACGACAAATACATTTCACTGTCATATTATGACAGTGAGGCGTATTTGTCGCCTCCTGAAGAATTTTACGAATGTAGAATACAACATATTAGAACGTGGGTATCTGACATACACTACTCAAAAAAGTCTAGGGATATTATGATTAAGTGAAATTAAAAACTTCTTTATTAATTTTTTTATTTTATTTTGTAATTGTTTTCAATTAAAAAGTCCTAACAATATAAAATAAATCAAAATTTAGGTGGTAACAATTTTTATTCTTCGCAAATAAAAATTACAAACTTGATTAATAAAATTTATTATAAATGAATTAACAAAATCAATACGAAAAAAATAAAAGCTTGTGTTCTTAGTACCGAGTGTGACCTCCTCTACTGTTTGCAACTGCTCTACATCTACGAGGCATACTTAGGATTAAATTATCTAGCTCATTTTGAGGTAATCTGGTCCATACGTCTTGAAGGCAATTAAAGAGCTGCTCTTGGTTCTCAAAGTAATCATTAACCCTTAGAACGCCTCTCTGTAGCATATCCCAGACATGCTCAATCGGGTTAAGGTCTGGCGACTGAGCAGGCCACGGTAAAACAGGGATTTGGTTAGTTCGAAGGAAATTTCTAACAACGTTTGCGGTATGTGGGCGTGCATTATCATGCATTAAACAAAATTCGGGCTCTGCATTTTGTGCGAATGGAATAACGACAGGACGGAGTATCAAATCCATATATGCGACTGAATTTAATGTTCCTTCTAATCGAACGAGATCTGTTCTTCCGCCTAATGTTATTCCGCCCCAAACCATAATTGTTCCACCTTGAAATGTATGAACCTCTTGAACATTACGAAGACGGTTTTCGGCTCCTGGTTGTCTCCAGACTCGTATTCTTCTTGAATCCGGGTAAATTCCAAATCTAGACTCATCTGTAAATAAGATATGACTCCACTGTTCATCTGTCCATGCAAGATGTTCTCTAGCCCAGATATCCCGTGCTCTGCGATTGCCCCTGGTTAGTGGTGGAACTCTCAAAGGTCGTCTACTCCAAAGATTAATCTCATGTAGGCGATTTCTTATGGTTTGACCGGAAATGGTTAGATTGTGGGTCTGCTGTAAATTTCGTACCAGTTGTGTAGCGGTCAAATTTGAGTTTCTTCTTGCTTGTAGTTGTACAAACCGGTCTTGCGCTGGGGTAGTTATTCTTCCACGGCCTGGGTGTCTTTCACTTACACTCCCTGTCTCACAATATCTACTCCAAAGGCGACTAACAACACTTTGAGAGGTGCCTATAGTATCTGCTACTAGCACTTGGTTTTGGCCGGCTTCGAGCATTCCAACAGCGCGTAACCGCTGTTCTTCGGTCAAATGAACTCTTTGCATAGTGAATATACCAAGCACACTTTAAATACTGTCTTTAAAATGAAAAACGTAAAATTATTTCCTTATGCAAAAAGTAGTGTTTTGCAAAACATCGACATGTTTTTTGTTTGGTTAATAAAAAAAATTATTAATGTTGTAAAAGTACACAGTAACAAACAATGAATTTATAATTTAATAAAATGTATTTATACTGTGCGTCTTTTTTTAACTTATATATAATTATTTAGAATATCCCTAGACTCTTTTGAGTAGTGTATTTGGAAATATTCTCAAAAGCTTCCTAGAAGCTCCATAAGAAACCTTCTAAGAACATTCTAAAAACGTATTCTTAAAATGTTCTTAGAATGTTTTTTAGGAATGTTTTAAGAAGCTTCTAAGAATCTAATTGCATCATTAAAAGGGTATCTATTGAATGTTTTAAAAGTCCCTAAGAACATTCTTAGCAATAAGGGAAGGTTCTAAGAATATTCCATTATTCCGGGTCATATCTTCTTAGAAGGATCTTAAAATAAAATTTTGCTATCAGGGTAGGACATATTCAATTGCTTGAAATATATATATCTGTAATGTTTAAATAGTTATGTACAAAAAAGATTTATTTATTTTAAAAATGCTCTATTTTTTATTTATATTACAAAAATATTCCATAAATTTAAATTTGTTGTTTAGTCTAACTACCTATATTCTATGATATTTTAGGAATGTGCATTTATTAATAAAATTAAGTTTTGTGCAGACACTATTTTCTTGGACTAATTTGAGGTCAAAGAATCCAAATAGTAAAATTGTTTCTATTTTTGGAACCTATTAATTAATAACCAATTTTGCAATGTTTTAAACAATTTTTAAGTCATATTCAAAACATCTTATTTCAGATCAACATTATTTTCCTAATTCCAAACAAATTTACCCAACATCTGCAACATTAGGTACTAGAGAAAATAAATGTCGAAATCTCTCGAAAATCAGATATAAACTTTCTAGAACGCCCAACCAAATCTATTTCAAATTAGATTTTAAAATAAAGATAAATCTTTATTTAGATGCAGTATTTTTAGATATATACAATTACTGAATTGCTAAAGCAAAACTTCGCTGAAATTTAAGGCAGATGGTGCCACCTACCTGAAAGCGCTTAAACTGAAAAAAGTTTTCTGCGAAAGCTGAAAGATTATTTTGATTTATTTCAGCAAAATTGTTTATTTTAATCTTTGTAACTTTTAAAAATGTAGTACGATTTTGATAAAAATGTCTAGGTAGATATTTAAATGAATATACGCTTTTTCTAATGACGTAAACAAAATTTATCTAATGCTGTTTTTCCTAGCATTTGTTTTAAATCTGCTATAATGACGAACAAACATGATTAATTGGTCATATCGCATAAATTTTAGTAAAACAAACGAAACTAAGTTGCCGTTAACTTGTTGGCATAGCTACTGCAATGACGTCATAGCTGAATAAATAGGTCAAAATCCTCTGTGCCAAGTCAGGATTCAATGTGCTCTGTTCTATGCCCGCTCTCTTGATCCCCCCGTTTTAGTTGATTCAGTTTTGCATTTGCATGTATAGCGATAGTGGATGCCCCAAAATTTGTTTGCGCCATCAATGGGGTGTATAGACAGTAAAAAAATATATAATATATAATCTGTTAACTAATTGAATAGGAAGTTTGTGATTATAACAAACATTTTGTAGATTGTCATTTATTCAACCATTTTTCATTATACACAATACGAGGTGTGTTCAGAAAATAACGGGAATTGTTAAATTTCG